TTCCTTCCGTCCCACCCTTTCCGCCCAAGTTCTTTGCTCGGATGCCTCTTCCGTTTGCGTAGCTATTGTCCTAGTTTTCTTATTCCTATCCTCTATCGTCTCGCTTCCTCCTCCAGCTTCAATTCCCAATTGTTTCTCCATTCTTCTAATTTCGTTAGTGATCAGGATTTCCATATTTTCCCTTCTTCCTTCCTCTATTACTTCCACCGGTCTTTTTTGTTTTTCCCTGCAGTTACTCGCATCGTGGCCTGAATTTCCACATGCATAGCATAACTTGACTTTGCTTCTGCATTGTACCCTAGTATGTCCGATTTGTCCGCAGTTAAAACACTTATACCTTGCTTCGTACCTACTAGCCTTACAGATGGTCCAACCAATCCTCATACATCCTTTTCTTAGTATTTCTTCCGCTACTTGCTCCTCCAGTGTTAAGCATGCATTCTTGGTTCCCATAGCGTTCGTTCTTATAAAGGCAATTCCACCTTCCTTACTTCCCGTCTGTTTTCCTATTTCTTCTACTATCTCCTCCTCTGTAAGAGTTTGTTCTATGTTTTGTACGAAGATTCTTACCTTCCTTTTCCCAATACCAACCATATTCATACCTATATCTCCAATCCTTCTCTCCAAGATCTTTTTATCCCTTTCGCTCCTTATTACAATCAAAATATCCTCACAGCCCCTAACCTTCCTTATTCCCACAACTTCAATACTACCGGCGTTTACCCTTTTCTTTAGTTCCTGCATTTTCCCTTCAAAAGTTTCCCCCTTTTCTTTGTCTACCTTTATTCTTATAGCTTCCGTTTTTTCTTTCTTTTGCACTAGCTCCTCTCCGTCGTTATTTCCTTCCTTCATTTCTTCGTCTTGCACTTCGTTCCGTTTCTTTCCAGGGGGCGTCTTTGTAGTGGGTGATTCGTCTGAGTCTCCCTCGTTCCTGCTTGATCTTTTCCTTTTCCCTTCCACCCTCGTAAATTCGTTCCCTATCGCTCTTTCTTCCTGACTGATTGCCTGCCCTTCCTTGTCCATTCCTGCCTCTTCCTCGTCTTCTGACATCATCCTGCTTTGCGTCCATTCCTGAGTGTCATATACCCCTTCTTTCCATGTTTTCAGCATTTGTTCCTTGAGTGTTCTGCTGAAACCCTTGCTGCTCGTTATTTTCCCTATCAGATGTTGTATTTTCGTTGACCATTCCACCATTCCTTCCATGATTTCTTCCAGTTCTATATCTTCATTCCCATACATTTCTTCCATTTTCTTCTCAATTTTTTTGGCTTCGTTGTCTGCCTCGTGCTTTATTTCTTTATTTAGATTTCCGCTACTTCTGTAAATGTCTACTATCTTTCCTGTATGTTGTATAATTTTCCTTATTATTTCCTTGTGTTCGTCTAGCTTTTCTATCCTTTTCCTACCTTCCTCCTTTCCCGTTTCCATATCATCCCCCCCCCCAACCCCATGTTTGTTTTGTTTTGTTTAAAAAAGTAATTCATGTTTCGTCCCACGAGTGGGGTCGGTCTAGAATAGTCCACCCAGGCAGAGCCGCCCTTGCCTGGGTAAGGCTTTTACGCCCCGGGGGGCGCCCGTTCCCCGGGGGTTGGTCGCTAGCGACTGATGCTCTCACCAGCCACGCTGCAGTGTGCAAGACTGCAACGCGCCCTCATCACCACGTACCGCAGCTTGGGGCTAAGGATTTTTGAAGAGGTTGTCTCCCCTTGGGCCGGCCAACCAAGGCAAGCCCCCCGCTCCTGCGAAACATGCCCACAGGTTTACGGTATAGGAGCTCAGGTTCCTCGGGGTCGCTTCCCGTACCGCGGTTCCTGAAAAAAGGGTCCGCAGCCCTTGAGTTCGCCGAGACCCCGAGGGTGTCCCAATCCACTTAACCCAATCCCGTCCAGGGCAAAAGCACTACTACTATGGCTATAAGGACCGAAATCCCTCCAAGTTGGGGTTCCTCGGCCCGGGGGCGGGGGGATGCAAAGCCATTTCTGGCATAACCTCCCGCCCCCGGCGTGGGGACCGGTTGGGAAAAACCGCTGGACGAGACTGGGCCCCTCCGCTTTCTTCCGCCCGGCTTGGGACGGGCCTCGGCAGCCCCCCCCTGGTCGGTATGTCCTCCCTGTGGGAACGCAGGGTGACTGCCTTCCAGAGGGGTTGTCGCTCCTTTCTGACACTTCCCCTTTTTTCCACCCCCCTTTTCCTTTTCCCGCCACTGTTGCATAAAAAACCCTTCCCTTAGTACATCGAGAAAAACCCTTCCCTGAAAATCGGAATTCCCCCGTCCCCCCTGCCCCTCGGGAGATAGAATAAATTTCTACCCCACGAGGAGCAGAAGGAGATTCCCTGCACCGTGTATTGCCAATTCCCCCGTCCCCCCCGCCCCCCGGGAGATAGAGTGAATTTCCATCTCCCGAGGAGCGGAAGGAGACACCAGAAACTGGAGCCCCGTCGCTTTTTTTTTTGGGAGCCGGAATAATTTTCCGGAGCTCCCATCCGTCTCCGGCAACGGCCAGAACCCCACCCACTCTTCCTGAGGGTCATGCCTACGTGTTGGGGCTGCACAGGTTTCGCCGCCTCCACCACTGCCATGTCTTCCATGGCTGCCGTCACCCGCTCAACAGGTCCAGGTGGCGGAGACGGTGGAAGAGGCACCGCCATGGCGTCTGTCTTGCGCCCCCGGGCGGCAACAACCTTCGTCAGCTGCTCCACGGACTTACGTTTACCCTTATTACTAGGCCAGAGGTCAGGTACTAACATCACCCAGACACCCCGGTCGGGGGGCAACTACTCCCCCTTGGTTAGTCTCACAGGAATCTGACACTTGTAGAGAATTTATTGTACTCATTCCCCCAGTGAATCCTACCGTTGCCACCAATTTATGCTATGGAACGGGCCGTAACGGTTGAGATCGCCATCATCTTGGGTTGTTTACAGCCGGGTTTACAGCCCACTTGAACATACGTGACTTAGGTAAAACCACGTGGATTAGCTAGTCCTTGTGGTTTTGCCTAAGAAACGTACGTTCAAGTGGGTTTGAGGAATAGGAAAGGAAACAATGGTAATATTTTCCAGAACTCGTAGGAGATAAAGTTTTAGAGTATCTA